GGGCTGCCCCCACGAGTGCCCGCCGCAGCTGAGGGGCACGTCCGTCCAACAAGCGGGTTACTTGTTTAGTTGAAAGCCCAGCGGGGCTGTTGGTTACTGCCAGTGGTGTATCTGCTACTGACCACCACCTCGGTAACCAGCTCCACTGAGGTTCACAAAACACAAGGTGATTGATCGATCAGTCCCCTCCGGCGCATCACATCTAAGGCTGCCAAGCCACCTCTCAGCATGCAGGCACTTTGCAGATAGCAGCACGTCAGCTCCTCTGGCTACTTCAGCCAGCTCCAATCGAAACTCTGAAAGAAGAAGCCAGGAAACATCTGAAGTGCAGGAAACAGCTACTGAATGTACATTTCCAAGGTGGTGACCAAAGAGTGCTCAGCGTCCAGCATCTCTCTCTTCTCAGAGGATCATGTTGATCTAACAGCTGAAAAGGAATCTCACAATTTCATGACTGTTTACCCACAATACAAAATCCCCCATAATTATCACAGTGCTCAGGCAAGTCACAGACTGTACTTGCTTTGGAAATTACATTTTGTGCCTGCACAAAACCTGCCGCTGCAGTTCCCAGTGCACCATGCGATATAGTGGTAGTGCAAGAACACAAATGAAAAAAAAGGCTTCAAGTCAAATGTATGCAAGAATAGAGAAAAAGGTTCTTATAGTTATTAATTCTTGTTTCCTCTGTTTTTACCCCCCAAGTGAATCAAAGAGGACAAATCCCATTTTCTGCTGCTTTCCTGTTGCCTAACTTCTGTCCTCTGATGCCAGGAAAAGGGGGAAAGGAACCAAACATAACAAACCAGGTGCTGATCTGCAGAGTGTGATTCCACAGCAACGAATAATCTTTCTGGACTAAACCATGCCAGGGACAGATGCTGCAGCTTGGAATGAGATATGGGAGATGACAGGGATGATTAACAGGTAGGAAGCCAGTCACTCGGCTTCTTGCTCATCTCCAGCCACAGCAAGGATACAAGACAGGAGAGAAGATTGTATTACACAACTGATACCAACCCTGCCAGAACTGAGCAAAGACAAACAAAGCATTCATCAACCAAAGGATGAAGACCAGGGTATGTATAATTAAGGCTGTTTTCTCCACTAACAAAATTACTTTGCCTTAATGAATAGCTGATTTCATTTCACCGTTCATATTGTTCAATCCCTTGCTATTACAGTGCCATCTGCAACTCCCACTAGTAAGTTTTCATTTCACCATCCCAAGTAACTTAGTAACCCCAGTAAACTCTCAGTTCACTGTTTACTATTTTTCATAAACATCAGAACATTAAAATGTTTATGAATTATAAGAGCTCAATTTCATCAACCACCTCCATTTCCCCAACCCTCTGTTCCTTGTTATCTCAGTAGTTACAACTGGTAATCAGCATCAACCTTTTTTTTCCCATGAGAATGGAAGTTATCCCTTAGGAGACCTTTAAAAAGCTTTTTGAAAATCCAAGTTACAGCTTATCAGTGCATCTTCGACTTCTTTACAGGACTGCAATAAGTTTGTGAGACTATCTCATGCTAACAGAAGATGTATTGACTCTTTCTCTACTATAAACACATCAATCTACATGCCTAATTGTTCCTTTCTCGTTATATTTATATGGGTGCTTCTATGATAAGCCTCTAAAATCAGCTGAGACCCTCTTCTAAAAGACGGTATTCTGTGGTGCTCTGCATTCTTCTGCTAACTGGGCTCTTTTGAATAGTAACTTACTGGCCTCAATTAGTAGTTCAGGAACAGAGTTTCAGGTTGCATCAAAACATCTGGGTGACCATTATGTACCTTTGTCACTTCTTGCTATTTCAAACACCAATTTGTGCAAAGAGCCTTCTTAGGACTCTCTCGAGCCCCACTCCTTCCGTAATGACCAGGAAAGGGCTCTGGAAATGGAGAACCCAGCCTACTCCAGTGCAGGGACACAAACCAGGACTCTCCAGTTGAGAATGCAACCAGCATTCAGAGCAAGCTCTACCAGCCAGAGGGTCCCACAAAACAACCAACTCTGCCATGCAGACCGCTTGGCTGACACTAACACCAAGTGCTACCTTCCATAAGGACTGGCACGTTAGCAGAGTCCAGGAGAGATGACAGATGCCACATGTCAGCCACGGCAATTCACATCATCACAAATGACCCTATTTAAGGAACTCTCCACACAGAGGACTCTGCTGTGGCTCTTAAAAATCAGGTCCTCAGAGGTATATCGACAGACTTACCATCATGCTGCTGTTCTGCTCCTGTCTCGCCTCCTGCAAAATACTGCTAAAGAGTTCGAGGTAAGTCAGGTTCTCTTCTATCACATGAACAAAATTTTCCCTGCAGGGAAGAGAAGGCATAAGATGACAGATTTAAAACACAAAGTAACAATGTCAAAAGACTGTGCACTGGGGGGGAGAAAAAACCCAAAAACTACCACCCCCCAAAACCAACACAAAAACTTGATTTATAGTTCTCTCAACTGTACGAGCTCAAGAGCCACGCCTTGAGGTGGCATCCTACAGATCCCCGCCCCAGAAGTGTG